CGCTTATCTTGTCCATGGTCCGGGGATCAATTTCTCGGATACTTCAAGCCAGCCATACCTTCTCTACCTCCAATGACAGTTAATTGTGTCAGATTTATCTTGAAGAATGGATAGATTGGCTCATGCATACATCGGCTGACTCCCCCCCCCCCATTTAATAGCATAGGCTAGAATGCGTTAAAATTTCATCACGACTCTGGATATGTGGCGCATTCTCCGAAAAGAATAGGTCAGCGCTGAGTTTTGCTTATTCTTATTTACTTGAATCTGTAGAGAAATCGAAAGTAAGAAAGATGGCGTGGCGCAATCTGTTGCGCATAATTAGTAGTAACAATAATTATTTTGCGTCAGTTTAGCTTGCGAGAAGTTTTGTAGCATGTTTTCGCGACATGACGTCTCTGCTTCTCCTTTAGCAAGCGTTAGATCTGATTAATATACAGTAATTCTTAGACAGCACCCTTTCCGCCGATACACTCACAATGCTCTATGCACCTCGTTTTTTGCAATATGAAAATCATTTTGTCTGTACCATACATCTGCGCTATCTCAAACCTTCTTTTGTAATGCACCTCCGGCCCGAGCACATAAGCCGAGAATGGAGGAATTTTATAAGAACTCATGCAACAAAGATACTGTTCTATCGAGCCCCCTTACATCATAACTGCTCCTCCCGACCACTAGTCCTTCACCAAACTAACTCGTGACATTCACGCGGCAAAAGCTCAAGGCCTACGCCTCAATCGAAAAGCTGACAATCCGAATCCGCCCTTGCCAGCCAGAATTTTAGATGATTTGCTTACATAACCTGTCAGTAGAGCCAGTATGTGCAATGGTGATATACATTTGTTTCATCTGCAAGTTTTGTTCAATAAGCTCAGTCTCACAAAATTTGATGGAACTTCTCCACCAACCTAATAGTTTAAATCACGTTCAGTGCTTGACGAAAAAATACAGTTTCGGCTGTTAACTTGGAAGTTCTTTGAAAATGAACCAAAAATCAATATTATGAGCTTCTTCCTCATTTTAGTTGCGAATCGCCACCTCGGCTGCTCAGGGACTCTACCAGAAGAAGAAACTCAGAGCCTAGAAATTGCTTGCGTTGATGTCACCTAGAGCGCCATGCTTTACTCCATCAATTGGCATCACCTGAGAAATTCCTTCATATTATGGTTAGTGAAGGAGTGGTTATTTCCACACAGTCTTTTAATCGCCTGTGAACTCTAACGATACTTTTATATACGTGGCGTTTCTCTCATCCCAATAAGAAAATCAGTGAAAGTTCCGTGAATTTGGTAGGGACTAAATCTGTGTAGTAATTAATAAATATTTGACAGAAAAACGTGTTAAACCATGGTTTCAAAACTTGTACGTAAGTTCATAGTTTATTAATGAGAGAGCGATTGTCGCACGACCTTGTCCTCAGTCGCTGACGATGCAATCAACGACGATTAGGATTCTGCTCGGAAATACTCGAAGCGCAAGGTGGCCAAGGCGGTCACATCAAATACCGTAATCAATCATTAGTCGTGAGTTTTATTACCCGAGCAAGATGGTTAGGATCAGAGAGCCTGATCGCCTGCCTCTTGAGTAGATCGGGCAGAAGCACACAACTTGGAGGCAGACAAGACATACAACGCGAATCTGGTTGAAATATTTTCGCAGTTCCCGTTTGAGAACCTCCAAGTGAGGCTTCAGGGCGGCTACGTGATTTATCACCTGCCTTCAACCTCTGCCTGATAGATAATTTGGGAAATTTATATCAAATTGTGACCCTTCTTTTTTGATATTTTCTTGCTTCATGGAAAATATACAATCACTGCGGTATCTGCGAGTTAGGCCAAGTACAGGCACAGCTCAAATCGGTGATGGGTATTGATCACTCTTGAGTGTTTTGTCAGTATTGTTAAGTGAAGCTCGTCATGAGTGAAAGGCGGTAAATTGAAGCGAAGTTCGGCAGCTTCTGTACAGGGTCAATGATGCCATTGACCGGGTTTGAATACGTAATCTTCTTAACCACCGCTATCAGTTACAACCTGTGACAACATCAATGTCTAAGCTTAGCGGGCAACAAACAAATGACCCCTCGAAAAAAAAATGAAAAAACCACTCCATGTGATAAATGATTGCAAGAGTTGGAAGATTGCCCGTGCATGAGCGGAATGTTTTACTGAAGCTTTCGTTATGACCAAGTGTTGCAATGTGCCACATTAAAATCTCTAAATCCCTTGTCTTGCTCGCCGGTTCCTTGCGTTGGACACATTTCACTCACCTATAATGTACCTTACGGTGCCCATCAAACGTCATATCTGAAAAATCTGGAAGTCCGTAACTTGCTATACTTATCGTCACGGGCACACAGCTGAAGCTGAAGTCACTACGATAACATCACCACATAAAGAGACCTGTGATTGCTTCACGTCGGCATCAGTCAATCTTGCTATGGAGTATTAGTGATGCACGTATGCTAATCAGTGGTTTTCTTGACTTTTTCACAGTTTGAAATAATCGATTTAAAGTTTGAACGGGTGAGGCTTAAAACACAGAATGTTTGAGTTCCGGTGAAGTCGACAAGGCCAAAACGTTAGCTCCATTAATTGCAATACCATCTTGTTTGCAAATATCAAATACTGTCCAGAAAAGGAAAAGGTTTCACATCATAGATTGGTTTCCTGCGGCCATCTTTTTTTGATAGACTTAGTATTATTCTGGGAGGAGAAAAAAGTAACATGCGCAGCGGCTGTTCATCGCAAATTCCTTACGACTCACAGTCCCTCTCTGCCTCTAACTCCATCGAAAGTCACTGTAAAATTCGAATATGCTCTACATGCAGTTAGAAACGTGTACATGGGAGACTTTCTTGACAACTATGCCTTTGCCCTTCATGTATTAGGTTGATGCATAATTATTGCGGCTTTTTTCGCGCGTTCTTTTCTCGAGAAGATTGGCGTTTGAGTTTCTGTTTTTTTTTTCATGAAATATTCTTCTTTCTTCCATTAACAGAAATGCTTATCGGAAATTGTCCTCATCTTCACCACACATGCTTACTACTTCTATAAATGTTAGAAGGCGGCGGGGCCATTCCGCGATCTCATCAAACTTCTCAGCGAGGGAGCAATTAGCAAAACCCAAGACGAAGGATCGTTCAAGAAGTTTAAAACGCCACATCTACCGAGCGGAGCTCCTACAGACTAGCAATTCAATCAGACGTTGAAAAACTGGCAAACGAACAAATTTTAGGATGAGCTGGATGCGTTGGTGGCCAGTGTTAGAGCGTGGATCGTCTCCGAGAATCGTGACTTTTTTATCCGTGGAATCACCGAGAGAAAAGCAAATGGGAAGCATTCTTGTGGGATGGTGACCACGCTCCGGGGTTATTATTTAAACATGTTTTTGTTGAATAATTTTGTCGTTTTCGCTGAATAAAATCTGTTGGAAAAAGCCGCACTAATTATGCATCAACCCAATAATGGGAGTTGTGAGTGGTGACGTCAGAATGTCGGCAGATTTGGCACCTGCCGAATGTCTCTGTCGTCTTACTGATACGCTGTAACTCATAAAGGTGATATTAAAATATCGCGGGTAATTTACTGTGTCGTTGAATATTCTATCACAGAGCAGAAATTGTCCAATCACGGCCGACCGACCGTAAACCCAGATGATCCCAATTGTATGTATCCGTGCTTATTCTGACATATAACAAAGTCGCATAGGCTTTTAACAAATAATTGCGCCACAGCTTTGACGTTGGCCTCCATATCGCATTGCAATGAACTCAGTGATTTCTTTGAGAAAAGCCTTATTATTATTGTTCTCATAATCGTTTGGCAATAGAAGTTAACCGGAATACCATTAAAACAACCCTCTTATCCATAGTGTGTCCTGCGAGCCTCACCAGGACCCAAATCTGTACGCACCATAGAGCACCGAAACGTTTACTCCAAAAGAACCAAAAAAATCCAAAAACTAAATTTTGGTGCTGTTTGTGTTGATAAAAAAGGATAAAGCATTTGCTGTTGATCAGTCGTTTTTCAGGATGCGGCACGCATTCTATACTTCCATTTGAACACTCGTAGTGGCAACTGAATGCGATTTGGTCTATACAATGACATTACTAGCCGGCCAATACACGCCGTTTGTGTTTATCCCCCCCCCCCCCCCACCAGACAGGTCATGCCACCAATTAACCCGGGCCCGGAAGGCGAATGAAGCTTGTTGCCAGCCACTCAGAACTCAGATAATCTTTTCATCTTTAATTACAAAGCCTGACGTGTTACGTGTGTAGAATCATTGCTCTACTCTAACGCCTATCGGCCTTCATCCTCTTATCAGTTCGACAATCACGTAAGAACCCGTCAAGAAGACCCAAACACCAGAACCAAAACTGCCCAAGACCTACGTAAAATCGATTTTCGGCCCTGTAATACAATCGGCAACGCCGTTTTCCGCTGAAGTTTCCATACGAAGTTATACAAGGGACTGAATTGTCCCCGACAAGGCCGGCTCAACCAAGCCTCCTTACTATGCAGGAATGTCCATCAATGACTCCAACCCCGTGATGTATCCATCCTCAAACCAGCTTGCTTCTCAGCACAATCAATTTCAATGAACTTAAAAAAATCCGGCTCTTGTTACATAGTGGGCACGCTCAGCTTTTCAACGCATATAGTGTTGCCCTCACCCCATACCTTCCCCCCCCCCCCTCCCCTCTATGCTTACACTCCCCCTAGGTCCACCATTCCCCCTATTCCCGTGACAAGTGTAGTCGGCAGCAGTCCATTTCGTGCATCTCCGTTCAAGAATATGGCGTGCCCACCTTACTTGCATAGGCATCCCAAAATCATGTCCGTCATTAATCATATTTGGATCTGTGGTCGACACTGTTTGAGCACAGCTCCCTGTCATGATTCTCCATGAATGCCCCAGCTGGATTGACATGGAACATACCTAAAGTGCTGATAATCAATGTTACCGATATCATCGACACTCGTATTTCTTTATTTCTATGAATTCATTTCAACGAGTCCAAGTATGCTCTGATTTCCTTCGTCAGCCATTCGATAGCCCGTTGAACTCCTGCTCCATTCAAGAGCACACGTGGCGTGGATATTCCATTTATGACCTCTGATTAGATCAAGGCCTGAAATTCCAAATTTTCGTCCAGGCGTTTTCATAAGAAACACATGAAACAACAAGGAAACACGTATACGTGAGGAACCCCGCCCACCACAAACCCTTCACATGGCTTTTAATTTCACCTGAAGCTTAGGAAACTAAAGTGTAGGAGGCTTATCCGTGGGAAAGCTCAGTTCACTAGAGGTTTCAAAAGAAGTAAGTTTTCCCCCAATTGGGATAGCTTATAAATCTCAAGTAGTATTCGAAATTTTGTGATGTTTTCAAGATGGCTGGGCGCCCAGGAAGTCCGGCTCATCAGAACTATCTGCCTACCAATTGTGAACTTGACCCAACGCAAACGAAAGCTGGAAATTCACGGGCTTCACGATGATCCCACAGTGCGATCTCTTTTCGCAGCATCTGATTTGATCATTTTGAAGATCAGTGGACCCTCTTTAAATGTGCACACTAGCGCATTACCTAGGCTGGTTGAGATCTCCGCTGCAGCCATCGCATCTTTGGCGTCCATTTTGTTGGCGAGCACTAGGATAGGAATCTGAATTCTATCGTTCAAACAATCCAGCTCATCAAAGCTTCACTTCGAACTCACCGGTCGCCCACTGATATCCTTATGGTCGAGGATCATCCACAACTCATCTCTTGCCACAGCAACTCGTAACCGATCGGCGCTATCCACCACAAAAATCACGGCTTGAGCGTTCAGGTAGTACGTCTCCCACAGGTTACGGTATTTTCCTGAACATGAAATATGTCAATCCATAGTTTCCAACAGCAATCAACATGAGCAGTAAAGCTGCTGGTGATATACCATCACCCAAAGGCGCGACGACGTCATTCGTGGTTCCCGCGGCGAAAAGTTTATGGTCACCGCTGAGGTACAGTTTTATGACCATGCAAGGCCGGCAGGCAGTATCGCTGGTCGGCGAACGGTTGGGAACCTTCAGAAGGGTGAAAGAGGAATAAGGGGAGGGGAATGAGATATTGAAAGAATACAGGAAAGAAAGGATGATTGAAAAATTCTAGAGTTTGTGACAATATAGCAATCTCCTTCAGTATTGTGAAGGCGTTTGAGGGGGCAAGTCGCATTTGTTTTTGACTTTTTCAGGCTCTGACAAAGGCGAAGAAGCCGAAACGTTAGCCTAATGAAGCATCTAATCTTGGACGGCTACTGCAGGAGATTTATCAGTTCGTGACGGTCGCTTGCAGAATTTTAGCTCGCCAAACCATTTACACTATAAAAGCCGTCTGCCTTCAAAAGATTCTTGAAACTTTCCATTTTTTGTTTCTATTTGCTGGAACGACAACATGAATGAAAAGGGCTCTAATGAGCAGAGGTTCAATGCCATCGACGTCGCCTCCCCTCAAACGAAAGCGTGATGGTTTATTGGAAAAAGAGAAAGAGAGAAAAGGCAACTTTTATCCTCTGAAAAATCGAAATTGTTCATTATAAAAATCTTTATTTTCACAAATTCCTGCTACAAATTCTTAGAGGTGCGGATTCGGATAAAATTCCAGTGTCTAACCCTGCTAGACGTCTTGAACGGGGTTTTCCTTTGGAACGTTGTCTAACTTTCGAATAAAATGACACATCAGTTTGAAGGCGAACCATGCCTTTAAATCCTTTTGCCACTTCGACATTGCCACATTGTTTAAGGCACTATCACATGTATGGACAATACATGTACTTCTGAGGAAATCCCATGATGTTGAAGAGTCCTGCAGCGGGTAAAATAAACACAAAGTTGCATTTTTCGCGGTTGGAGGGAAACTTTTTGTTCAACCTGATAGGAGGAATCAGACTTCTTCTGTTCACTGAGTGAGCTCCTTCGTCCTCCCCTTGTAGCGGAAGGAATGACTATGTAGGACAGCAATGCATGGCTTCATTTCGTTGAATTGAGCAAGTCTCAAGACAAGCTATTTTTGCAAACCCGTTGAGATCTGTTGCGTCAAACACGTTTTTTTGTTCCAGGTAGTGGATTTTTTAGGCATTTTATCACTTTCCGCCAGACTGCACTGGATTTCATATGTATGTAAAGTGGTTGCAAAGGCGCACAAACAAGGCAAACAAGCTCACCTTGTCCAGCCATATCGAAAGCCGTAAAACTGAAACTCTCCGTGGTGAAGTTCGTGACTGAATAGCCGACTGTCGGGGCAATTTGGCTGGTTCGAGTTTCTGGCGTTCGCAAGTAGTTTAACATGGTTGTCTGGAAATATAATAAAATCGAGAAACTAACGATTTTATAAAGGGAAGAATAAAGAGGATACAACTCAATCCCTACTGTTGCGATACATCATCATGCTTGGTAGCAGTTCATTGCCTATTCGGTCCACCCTCTGTTTCAGAAAACCAGAAGCGCGTCGAGTGCAGACCACACACCACAAGTGACGGCCTCCACAAAATGTAATGTTTTCTGCCAATGAAATGATTAGCCTGTTGCAGTTGTATTCTATCAGTTGTCACTAATTACAACTATCATTTACCAACTATCAGCTATCACTATGAACACTAGTAACCAGATTTACTTGGAGGCCGTCGTCACTTGTGGTGTGTGGTCTGCACTCGACGCGCTTCGTTTTTCTGAAACAGGACAAAGACATGCGGACATGCTCGCTGTCAGCAGCCCAATGGGTAAGTTTATTCGAGCGGGTTCATATCAGAGGATTGAGAATGAGCACATCTCAACATCTGCGAGACATTGCTACCAGGGTCAACCGTCACGTTCGAACATTTTCGGGATTTTTGCGACCCCCTAGCTCTCGAGGGGGTCCAGACCCCCTGTTTTTGTTAATAAGAGTGCTAGACATGAATCCGTTGCGCCAGAAAGCGTCTGCGCGTCGTCGCGTCGGCCTTGGAGCGCGGCAGGTATCACCCGGGCGCTGGAAGAACAGGACG